CCCCCCACAACCCCCCCCCCCCTCTTTTTTTTTTTTTTTTTTTTTTGGAAGGCTGTGAATAGCTCCTGAAATAGAGGCCACTGGAGCAGCAGAGGATATTGTGAAAGCGTGTGTGTGTGTGTGTGTGTGTGTGTGTGTGTGTGTGTAGGTGTGTGTATGTGTGTGGGTGCAACGTGATACAACAAGAGTGAGAAACTTGTTCACAAGGAGAGGATTTGGAGTGAAAGACAAAGAGATCGAGACAGAGCGTTGTTGAGGGACACAGGTCCGCAGAGATTAGAGAAAGAGAGGAAAAGAGAGGCAGAAAAAAACCAGAGAGAGAGAGAAGGGGAGGGGAATCACAGAGAGCGAGAGAGAGAGAGAGAGAGAGAGAGAGGAGTGTGCTCAGACTGAAAGTCTGAATCAGTAAGAAAGAAAGCTGGTGAGCGTTCACTGTTTTTAGTGCCTTATTAGTAATTCCTATCTTAAAGGAGGGGTTTTCGTTTCTTCAGTTCCTCTGTTTTTGGATTTCCATGACCCTCGGACTACAAATCGACCCGAAAGCTTTTGTGAGAGGAGCCAGTCTTTGCGTTTGAATTGAAGCTCATTGATATTTCGTGTAGATCTGAAAGAAATCTCCTGTGTGGATCTATTTATTGCCTCTGACATGGGGTTTGGCAAGGGGCTGCTGATTTTGGGTGAGTCTTTCAATGAAGTTTGTGTGTCTTAATGTCCCGGTCTGTGCGCATGGAGAAACCAAAACTAAAGACAATCTCCAAAATGATCTACTTTAGTCGCGTACCTTTACGTTTTCTTTGCAAAACCTTTCTATAAAAATAGTCACACAATTAGAAAGCAAATCTTTAAATTAAAATATGAGTTTAAAGAGAATAAATGGGACTTTTTAGAACTTGACAAGAATAACGCCTCACAGTTTTAATTGCGCCCAGCTCTTTTCAGCCAAGGTTTTGAGTTGTGAACTGTCTTGAAATTGTTGCCAAAGTGACCTTCTCCAGTCAGATCTGCTTTTTAGGCAAAGCGGATTTTTAAGGCTTTGTAAGAGTTGTGGTTGTGGATGAGGTTCAAGCTGTGAAAAGCACAGCTTATCTGAATAAACCACAGCTGCCGAACTTCAGATCACTCGTGGAAATACGTTTTTTTTTCTTTTTCTGTATGTTAGTAGCAGATTGTTTTGAATTTCACACTGATAAGATGTAACCAAGGCTGTTTAGCCGTTTGTTTATCTGTGTTTATCTCTTTTAAAACATATAGTATGTGTTAGTCAGAAGAGCATGCCTTCAGAGGTACCTTATATTATTTTAAAAGGATAAAATTACAAAGTTTGTGTCGATTTGTTGGCTGGATCTTCAACGTTTTCTTAAAGTTGCTAAGTTACGATCTGGTGACTGTATAGGTCATTGCTCTCCAGTGAGTTCATCCCATAGAAAAAAAAAAACATTTTGAGAAGATTTGAGCTTTGTTGTACGGTGTATCCATCATACGACAATGTATTTGATCAGCATTAGCACTCAGATAGTCTGTGGTGTTTAAAACAAAATTACAAATGGCCCAAAGTACAGCTGGAAAATATTCCCTGTACCACGATACAGCCACCACCAGCCTGGATCTTTGATGCATGATATGATGGATCCATGCAGTCGTGTTAACTCTTTATCTAAGTTTATACAGTTCAAAGCAGAACATTGCCTGAGATCTATTGTTGGAGCTCTTTTCCAAAACTTTTTATCACCTGTATACTTTAAAGACAGAAGTGTACTTTAATCATGTTCCATCTCCGGTTGAAAAGATTCACTTTCATCTGTAAAGATGCAGTCATTTTCCCCATCACACACCTTTTCAGGTCTCTGTTTCTATTCAGTTAAGGTTGGTGACTTCTCATTCTTCCCATTAACTTTTATAATTTTCTTAGCAACCAGCATTAAAATACACTGAACCTACCTTTGAGCATTGAAATCGTCAGCAAACGCTTTGAAGGGACTTCCCTTTTAACAATTTTCTCAATCTCGTTAAAGATAATCTCTGACCATAACATGGCAACGTTGCTGCAGAAATCGAGACTGCTTGGAACAGGCAATGTTTTTTCCATCTTATAGTGCCCAACTATGGTGAGCCATTATAAATTATGGTCTCAGATTTCTGCTCCTAGCTGAAGGAAGTGGCACCGGGTGTCGTTTTATTACATACTTTAGTCGTAAAAAGTGGTTATTTAAGCTGCTGTTGCCTTTCTGTCATCTTCAGCCAGTTTTCCCTTTCCTCTCCGACCTCGAACATCAACGAGGAAAGAAAAGGCCGCGCGTGAAAATCCCCAGAGATCATCAGTTTCTGAAGTTCTAAGACCAGCATGTCAGGAATAAACATCCGTACCACGTTTAAAGTCACTTAAATCCCTTTTCTTCTCCATTCTGACGCTCGGTTTGAGTTTCAGAAAGTTGCCTTTGAAATGTCTAGAGCAGGGGTGAGCAACCTGTGGCTCCGGGGTTTGGACTTTCCACAGTGGCTCTCAGTAACTTTGGCAAAAAGCAATAAATAACCAAAAAAAGATAGTATTTTTTTTTCTTTGTTTAGATTTTTTTGATGGAAAAATTGCACTAGATATCCACAAAACAACCAGTAATCATTTTTTTAGGTCTTTTTTTTGATCATTAGGTTGGAAACTATGTGCTTTTTCAGAATTAGAATCAGTTTTAAAGGTAAAGATCATGAGACCAAACCAGAATTAACTTAATTTTTAACACTCACAGTTTACAAACATTAGTCACAAATACAAAAACTTTAGAGGATTTTTTTTTTACACAAATAACATCCCACAGAAGGAACTTTATTCACCCACGTTATTGCGAAAAATGCTAAATTTAGAAATAAAAATGATGGTTTCCTAAACACAACACATTTTTTTAGTAGATATTTATACAAATTATAATTATTATGTAACATTTGCTGCCCTAAGCAAGCTTTATTTAGCTGGACTGAGGACAAAATGGCTGTTTTGATTACGAAAGTCGCCCTCGTTGTCATTTGATATGCAGGCTCCGGTCAGTTCACCCCTTCACCAGTTTGTACACCTATTCACCCAATGCAGCGCCGCTTCTTTCATTTCCACTTGCATCTTTTATGAGTAAGCCAACCAGTTTAGAAATAAACTCATCATGTGAAAAAAATTTGTTTATTTCTACTTTTAGAGATAAATTGCTATAAAAATGCCTAATCTCATGTGGAATTTAACCCGTAAACATTTGATGAAAACTTTATGCTGCCATTCATTTCAATCCTGATCCTCGCTTGAAATTGCTGACCTATGAGATATGACAGATTGAGAATCTGATTTGCCACAAGCAGTTAAAAAGGATGTGCAGTGAATGCATACACCTCATATGTTTTTGCAATTGTCTTCATCTCATAAAGTCATAAATTAACGAGTCCTGTTTTCTTTGGTTTTACTGCTGGTGAAAACTGCACTCTGAGAAGAAAAAAAAAAATCAAATCACAAGCTAATCGGGGCACAAGGCTGTCTTAAGTAACTGTGGAGTCAGCTATTTCCTGTGGAGGCTTAATTCAGAAAATGGAGAGAACAGAAACTTTTTGGTGCTGCTTGTTACTGAACTCTGTGTGAAATGTTAGTTGTTGTTTGTGTTTGCCTGCTGACAGCATTGAAACTGTCAGGAGATTGAAATGACATCACTCTTCCATGCGTGGCTTTTCTAAACATGCCAAAATGTGTGTGTGAGTGGGAGGTGGATTAGCAAAAAGAGCTGTGTGTGTGAAGTGTGTGTGTGTGTGTGTTTTTCTTATACGCCAGGTGACGCAAACTGTCAGGAGTGGAAATGTTTTGTTTTTTTTCCCCATACGTTTGTACGTCTGTCATGTGGAAATATTTTGTCACTGCACAGTTTAAAAACCACTGAGGAAGACCAGTTGGATAGTTGATCATTTTATCCCACTGGGATGGCTTATGGTTAACTGGTATTGAATAAATAAACTGAATTTTTAAAAGAAGTTGCCATTTCACGTTTGTGTCTGATCTCAGCAGTGGATTTGACTTCTTCAGTACAAGCGTTTCCCAAAATTTTGAGAAATATATGAGTTTTTCTTTTGCCATGATGATTGATGTTTCTTAGTCAGTACTCCTATCAGATAAATCTCAGGCTGAGCCTGACAAAATGTTTTGAGAGAAACGCTGGTTTCAGACAGCTGTGTTTTCTGTCTGTGTTTCCTGGAGCCTCGGTAGCCATAGCATGCTAACTCATGTTTGTCCTGAATCGCCCAGCGTTATCTTAGTCCGCTTTCATTTCAGCTGAGATCTTCTCATCAACAGTGGTTTGTGCATCTGTGCTGCACGGATAAGATCTTGATGAGGTCTGCCGACACTTAGTCGTACACGCATAGCACCCATGAATGTAGGGTCAAATATATCTTTGTGCTCAGTTTCCACCGAGGCACCACATGATTTATTACGACGACACGGAAGATTAACGGACAATCGGCCTCTTTTGAAATGTCTTCAGAAACGTCCCGCCTTCTTTTCAGCGTGGTCTTCTCGGCAGCTTCAGCTCAGCCTTGAAAAGATCATTTTATCTTGGAATGGTTGTTAGGCGTCCGACATGCCTCACTTCCCAGGTTAAATGAGACAAGCCCCCATGTTTGCTTTGGAGTAACAGTGAACACCGGGGGAGGCTTTGTTAGTGCTCATCGCGGATATAAAGTTACACGACACAACGTCGAAAATGCAAGGCAGAGGAGTCACTCAGCCGTCTTTATGACCACCATTGGCAAAATTTCCACAGTCACTTTATAATGGAGTAAATGATTTTAATAGTACTTTGAATTCTGGATGGAAGTATTTCCTGAATACCGAAGAAAGCTGTAAAGTTTTCACATACTACAATCAAAGTCAAGTCAGGTTTGTGTCGCTCATTTCAGCAACAAGGCAATTCAAAGTGCTTTACACCTGAAAACCATGAAATAAACATTACATTTTGTCAAATGCCATCTTCAAAACAGAATATACATCAAATATGTTGATTAATGTTCCAGATACTAGGAATCAAAAGTGGCTTCAAACAAGTGGGATTACAACTTTTATGTAAACGAACTCAGTGTTTCGGCTTGCTGGCACGTTAGTCCCTTTAATCCCGGAAATGTTCTTCAGGTGACGGAAGGCTGGCTTTGTAATTGCCTTCATGTGTCTTTGAAGGTTCAGGTCAGGTTTTGTACACATTAGACCAAAGAGATCATAAAGCACAAAGGATACCATGATAAATGATGTCATGGGATCCACCTCACATGGTATAATGCAACATCATCAGTTCTCCAAATGTCATCATGAATGATGATAGTACGAAAAAAAGCCAAACTGGATACCAAGGCTTTTAAATACACTTGGACTTTGCTAGGTCAATTTCAGAACCGGGTTGTGCATACCTGGCACCCAGCAGACCTCGGTTTGACCTGCTCCCATTTTTGGACGTGCAGCGGGAAGCCATATTGGATGTTTTCGCCACATACGAGTCAGCTCAGCGGAAAAGGGACCAAACTGCACGACTTTCATCCGGGCATTTTCCAGACCTGCTGAAAACGATAAAAAGGCGCATTCTTTACTGCTCCTCTTCCTGAGCTGAAGAGTTTGAGAGATTATCAGCAAAATGTGAGCTGACAACATAATACGTAAAACACTTGTGTC